TTGGCGGAAGCCGGTTCAAATTTGCCTCTGAGTCTTTTCTCGTGCTGCAAAATTGCCGCCTATCACTACACCACCGCCACAGACGGGCCTGCTGTCAATTAAGCAGTCCCAGGTGGATGTAAGGTTTTGTTGCCTCCAAATCCTGGGCGAAAACGGGTCCAGGATCTTGCCGCTGGGTCTTCGCGCATGCTGGAAAAGATCAAGAGGCGAACAGGAAAACCACCTCCTCCTAGCCACATTGAATAATGTTTTGGAGAAGTTATTCGGAAAGATTCGAACTATGCCTCCTCTCGGACGAGTCTGGTAGCAAACAATCACCCTTAAGGGACATAAGGCTCTCCCAGGTTCTCTGCGTGTGCTACGAAAGCTCACTTGCCACTAAACCACCTCTGCGTAGTCACATTCAATAAGCGTTTTAGAGAAGTTATACGGATTGTGAGGCGGAGGTGGTGTAGTGACAAGTGGCGCGCTTACCACTCGCGCGGCGCCGGGTTCGAATCCCGGGTCGACACCCGCCCAGGCCAACCAAGCCTTCTACCCTCCGGGGACGGTAAATTGGTACCAGATTCGTCTGGGAGGATAAAACACTGACTTGTACATCGGCCACCGCAAGTCATTGTATAGGCCACATCGCATTCAATAAGCCACTACGATTCTGAATGGAAGTAGAATGCGTGCCGCATCCCACAAAGGGATTGATCAACGGCGAAGACTTTATCCTTTTTCATACGGAATGTTTCAATGTATTTATACTCCCAGACAAGTCTGGTACCAATTAAGCAGTCCCACAAGCATGCGAGGTTTGGGAAATCTGGGAGAACCTACAGGAGTTGACCCCTGCAATTTGCAGCGGTGCTACGGGCAGAGCCACTTCCACCACTCGGCACACTAAATAACCACTATTGTTGTAAATATGTTATATTTCGCAGTTGAATGTTGTTAGATAAAATATTGGTGCTTCATAAACTGAATAACTTGTGAAGCAATTCCCTTCAGCCCTGTTCTGTTGGCATGTGGTATCCCGAAAGAACTGGCCGAACGAACAATACGCTTCAGCTTTGGTAGGGAAACCACTAAAGAAGATGTAAGTCAGCTTTGTCTCACTAATTCTCCTCGTTGAATCTTGTGGTATGATTATTCCATTTCAGGTGGATCGAGTGGTGAAAGAGCTGAAGGCTGTACTTTTTCTGGCAAAGTACGGCAGTTCACTCATGAACGTCATGAACGCTGGTCCTGTTCCCGGATTTTGAGACGTCACATTGGAGCTTGATCGTTGTGATTTGTTTGCTGTCCTCCGCTTGCTGTTTCTAAAAAATAATCGAACAGTCTACCGCTTGAAGGTGCTACTTAGTGTTGTCCGGAAAGTTCTCAGCGTTTTGGGTGTTTCACTTTAAACGATCGTAACTTTTTTAATACTCATCGGATTTAATCGAAATAGGCACCATTCGAATCAGCACACTTTTGCCAATGTGACAGCAGTCGAGAAATCCCATCAAAGTAAAAAACTGGGTGGTCGAAAATTCACGAAATCCACGAAGGCTTTTTTGCCTGGTCCTGATTTGATTGAAGTATTTCCCAGCAAGGAAGTTCTGAAAATGTTGAAAAGGGAATATTCGGTTGGTGGAAGGTCTGGAGAATATGGCGGTTGAGGTAGAACTTCAACCCCCAATTCGTTCAATTTATGGATAGTGATTTGTGAAACGTGTGGGCGGGCGTTGTCATGCAAAGGAGTCGGACCCTTTCTTTCATAAATGTGGCTGACTGACAAAATTTTCGGTACAATTCGTCGATTTCTTCACAGTAGGGTTCTGCTGTGATGGTTTGGCCTGGTGATAAAAAGTTATAGTGGATCACACCAGCCGATGACCACCAAGCCGTGACCAGAATCTTTTTTCGTGAGGGTTCGGCTTTGAAAATTACCTCGGTGGTTCGTCGAAATCCAACCACTGTCCGGAACGTCTCCTGTTATCATACATGACCCATTTTTCATCACAGGTGACAATTCGGCCTAAAACAGGTCGTTTCTGCTGCGCAAGCAATGCAGAAGGACCTCGAGACCGCCGCGTTCCGATTTCTTCGCCAGTCCACTCTCGATTGGGGGACCCAATGTGTTGGCGGTTTTTTCACACTTCCCAATGCATTCCCGTGACATCTGCAACAGTGACTTTGAATAACAACGCCTATGCTTTCTGCTTAATCTCTCGAACTGTGGTGATGGGTCAGCCTCCAAAATCCCCCTAAAATCCTCGTCAGATATTGCTTTAGGTCGACCGCTATGAGGTTCATCTTCAAGGCTGAAATCTCCAGAACGAAATTTGTTGAGCCATTGCCGCACAGTGCTTTCTCTAGCACTATTGGGCCCCCACACCTGGTTAATTTGTTGAGCTGTTTCGATTGCGGATTGCCCCAATTTATAGTCGAAGAAAAAATCGTCCGAAGTGCTCTTTTCACATGCTTGAAAAATCTTGAAAAAAGGGGTTTGTCAAGCAATGGTGAAACGGCAATTATACCATCAGATAGCGCAAGAAATTCTCTACAGGATGTGCTACTGAGAAGCAAGGCAGAATGAGTTTTTAATCAGCAGTGAATGTACAAATAATAGGTGCACAAAAGCTTGAGAACTTTCCGGACAACCTAATCTTTCCGATGGGGTGCGGGTAGTGTCAGGACAAAGGCGCACTGAGGGGTCAAAAAAGGTTTTCTTACAACTTGTCACCACTGACGTGCTAATGTACAGCGAGCAAAGACGGTTAACTATCGGATTACGTCTGTTCAGTATCTGTGCTTTTCTTGGATCAGTTTCGAGCTATATCCCACTTTTCGATGTGCTTTACACTTGCAATGTTGTTACTTAATGACGGGATTTTGTGAACATTCTACGTTTGAATGAATTTTAACATCTTATCGTTGTCCTGTACTAAAGTGAGGAAGGTGAGGGGAATGGGCATCAAAGGCTCGGTACGCGATCAGGTATAGAAGTTGGAAATATGGTGTTGGGACGGTAGTGTGATCCGCGAGGAGCAACCCTGTACCGCTTTCGCGGCAAAAAATTGTAAGGGAGGGGCGCTATGCAATATAAGCCCATGGCGCTCCTTTTTTTTCAGTGACTTCGCCTCCAGAACTCGCCTCCAGGACTCCGCCTCCAAAGCCATCTCTTTCAGTGAAAACACAGACTGCAGTTACGAAAAAGCATGAAACATCGTTCACTTGTGAGGTCATTAGAATTTTATCGGGAATTCAGCTGTGCGGATGAGGGCGTGTCGGAGATGGGAGTTCATTTGGGACACGTAAAACAAAAAAGTTTTTGAGTCGAATATAGGTCTTTTATATTAGGGTAAGCTGTACGAGTTTTTCTCTTTCTTGCCTTTTTTCTTTACTATCGAAGTTATTTCAGCACCTTGTCGTCTCTAGCGAATCCTAATCACGATATCCGATTGATGGCAATTGATCCGCGGGATTTCCCCCTTTGAGGGCACTACTTTTCCCCTCATGACGCTTAATACTAGAGCTTACTATGTAGCTACAAGAGCATTCCTAGAACGAAGTAATGGTGGGATGAGGTTGAATTTCAAGGACACTCACTTGGCACCTTATCTGGATCCCTATCTCTTCAGAATCCGTCTTCAGAATCCAACGGTTACTCGACATCTTCAACTTTTGAGCAGGTGGTATTGGAGAATAGATAACTTTTGACCAAAAATAAACATAACTTTCTCGCATGCTCTTCTCTACATAAAACCCGATGCTCCAATCGAAAGGGTAGTGTAAACAAAGGAACGTCGCGCCAAATTGCACCGCGCGACGAAAGCGCGCAATCTGGCAGATTCTGTGAACTTACGTCCTCTCCCGAACACGAGAAGCGGACAGTCAGCTGCCAAAATCGGAAGATGAGCAAAAAACATTTTGAAAACCAAGGCTTTTTGAAGGGAGGGGTCCTCGCTGTAGATGTCCCCAATCCTCTGTGAAAAGCTGGAATGGGTGAGAAGTCAAGATAAACTCCCAGGGTGCTTGACAGTGGGAAATTTGGCACTATTCCACTACGAGTAAGACTCCGAAAATTCGCAAAAAGATTTTCGCCGAAATTTCACCTATAGGGTCATTCGGTGCCCTGATCTTGAATGTAATATCCACTTTTGGCGCTGGCGCCACTTGTGGCTAACAGGCGCCAATCTGGAGGCCATCACTTTTTCGCCAGAATCGACGGAAACTTGCACAATAGGTTTGTTTGAGTCCTATTCACGAATACTGCATATTTTGGCGCTGGCGCCACTTGACGCCACCGCCTTTTTTCCACAAACTACAATCTCGCATACCAGACTTCCCAGGTTAACCTTAGCCAAAATGCTAAACGGGGCTGGTGTTAAAAAATGTGTCATAATGATAATGCAAGTTCTCACCGATTTTGGTGTATAAGGCGGTCCCGCCAAGTGGCGCCAGCAACAAACATGAGTGTCATATCGGTCACCGATAGTGATCAGAGCACCGAATAAACTTTACAAGCGGAAGATACCAGCAGAAAATAGAGTTTCTGGAGTCGTGATAGTGGAATAGTGCTGAAACTTTGATGGGAAGCTCACCAGTGTTTCTGTTGTTATCCTCCTCCCCCACCCAATGGCATTCAATCAGTGATTTTCTCGTGATAAGGGAGAATCGGAGAATTTGAGTGGGGACTCGTGGGATCTGTGCCCACTAACCACAGATGACACGATTCCCCAGTTTGAAAAGGTCATGGTTGGCTTCTCTACCAATCTGATCAATCGTACACATCGACAATGAACTGAAGCATATTTATTTTTAATACTTTTGAAGCATCTTTAGAATGTCACGGGGATGACAATACATACATTTAATTCACCACTATGTTCAACGTTGACCAGTAAATAACATCACATTCAAGGAACTCAGCTAATAACCTGAGATACAAGCGCTTGAGCTAGAAAGAAATAATGCCGAATAGAAATTTGAAAAATGAAAAAATGTGGGCTTATCGTTATCGAATTTTATGCCGAATCAACCCTTTCATCATATCGAACGGTATTTCCATTGTCACCCACGGAGAATATCTAAAACAACAACGGGTTCACCAGAGTTCGATCAGAATTCATCTTTTCACAAGTGCTCTCATGAAGATCTCCAGAACACTGACTATGAGGGCCGAAACATTCCGAAACAACTAGGACTAAAATATCGCACCTGACTAGGATCTTTTTTGCTTCGAACCTGCAGATATCCGCATTTGTCCAGGCCGCGAATAATGCCTTTCTCAGCCAATTGCTCGATTGTCACTTCCTCTCGACTACAAAAGTAGAAATCTATGACGATGATAAAAGATAAGGGCAGAATAGCTTCTGAAGCGAATGCAAACAATATTGGCACTAAGATCAGAGCGCGTCCTACCGCTGGGGCAAATTATTTGCGAATGCTACCCCTCACTCGAGACTTCCTCCTCTAATACGTCCCTCACAATTCCCCTTCTGCTTTCCTACCTACCATCTTTCCAAAACTCTCTTCCTACCACTTTTCTGGAATTTTTCAAAAGTGTCCTCTTTTTATTCCCAAAAAACAGACGTCGGGCGAGGAGAGGGGAGGGGAAGGATACCGCACGTAAAACAGAAGAAAGCGAGGAAAAAAAAAACAGAAAACATTTTTATTCGAGATCATACGCGCTTCCCTATCCTCAGGCGAAAATGAAATATTGCAACATTGCGCACGTAATGGCGCATAGTGCAAACTGCTGCAGTTTCAACCAGTTTCAATATTCCCCCGATGCAACCAATGGTAAAAGATTCAGTAAAGAAAAGTCCGGGACGGCTTAAATGGTTTCAGCCTTTGAAAGCCGTTTCTAACAAGGGAGGTCTTTCAGGTCGTGGCGCGCTTTTTGGAGTTGGTTTGTTGACCAGCTCGTGCATGCCAAGTGGTTACTACATGATACTTACATTTTGACTTTATTTAAAACTATTTTGAAGCCTAATTAACGAGCACCTCATAAACTATGCATGCTCGAAGTTACAATCAGAACGGAGCCCATTAAGATAGTTAAAATCGCCCATTCTTGTCAAATTCTTTTCACTCAGTTTTTGACCTCCCCAGAAACGCATAGCAAAAATGAAACCCATTTTTAAGATCCTTGTATGGACCCCTACAACAAGCAACAAACCATTTCCAAAAAGCGCGCCACGACCTGAAAGACCTCCCTTGCAAGACCATGTTAGGTACTGTTCTCAACTTGAACGCAGAACTTGGAGTAAAGGGCCTGCATGACCACAAAAGCTTTCACTTGACAATCCAAAAATAAAGACTGTACCTGTGGAGCCAGAACTCGTAGTAAACTTTGAGAACTTCACTCTGTCCTTTGATTTCGTGCATATTAATCCAATCTAAAAACGAAAGCTCATTATTGATAACGAAAACGCATAAGAAACGCTATAAATGGGGAAGATGAAGCAGTCTTCCCACTCAGACCCTTCGGGCGTGCGCTTAGCACTTAGTTCGTCTCAGAATCGTTGCAGAATTACAACGCAGGCTTGAGATAGCCGTTAGCATAAACATGGGTTTTTATCCGTTCAGATAAGTGTAGTACTAGTCAGTCAATACTCGATGGAACAGACGGTTTGGTTGATCATAGCGAGATTCGACCGAAAACTCCACCCGCTCCACAGATGTAACCAGCCGGTAGTGGGATTTGGCAGAGGGTAAAATAAAAAGAAGAAAAGTACAAATAAAGATATGAAGACCCACATTCAAAGCGATTCAAAGTTTCGGCGATTACATCCTCTATCGTGAATTTCAACTCGCTTCCTTCCGGAACCATGTCATTGAGACAAACAGTGGGTTGCGAATTACTCACATTTATACCAGCACCTAGCGATCACAATCGTTTAGCGAGAAATATTTTTTCGTTTCATAATCAGCACCCACCGATTGATACCAGTAACCCGTCATCTCGGAATCTTGCAGCGGCTAGAAGCCCTCCGACTTTATGCGATCTGTTGAAGTAAAAATCATTGGGCCATTTGATCCGTAATGGGAAATCCTGCAAATTCTTGTGCTTTGAAACCAGAACATTGAGGAGAAGTATAGAAAAATAAAGAGAAAATGAAAATTTCACATCTATGTCACTCAGCCTTCGAACAGCGTCAACAAGAGCGACGGCGAAGATATGCTGCACAAATGAAGGTGTTTTAGCGAGAGATGAGGATTGAGGAATGTAAGTAGAAACGGTGAACATGGCTGCTCCAATTGGAGATACGAACTCGTTTCCACCTCGACCTTAATGTCACTAGTTAGTTTGATGACACATGGTACGATCACACATAGTTCGGGTGTGTGACTATCAGCCCCCAGCTGTCGAAGCGTAGCGGTTTCCCCGTCCTAACATGCGCAGGAATGGAGATACAGGACCGTGAAACACGCTAATTCCTCCATGCTCCGCCCAATACCTTTTGCGGCGCAGACTCCCGTTCATGCTAACATCCGTCGTGTGCGCGCGTGTTGCGTGCGGCACTCTTGGCACTTTGCCAAGTAATTGCGCTAATGGATCACAAGTAAAACGCGATTTCCTGATGCGGATAACATTTGAGGTGCTGCAAAATAAGAACCGAAGATGATGACGAGAACTCAAGAGCAACTGTGCTGCTTCTGCAACATCCCTCAGAGGCCGCGCATTCCCACAAAACATGACAATAAACGGCCTAAGCGTCCCACTCGTTAGTTTAATACAAGCAAAACGCAATTTCCTGTGCTGTACATCGGGCTGACTAATCTTTGAGGTAGTTCGCTCCATGCCTTCAAAGCCCCACACGTAGCAAGGACCGCATGCAGGATACGACGAGCGGCTAGAACGAAGCAACAATAGATGTAGATGTCAAATTAAATGAGAAAATGGCGGAAAATTAAGCACGAACGCATTGATTAACTAGAATGCCGAGTAAATTTCTTGCGATCCGCGGAGCGAATCCGGCCCCCAGGCCCCAAAGCATAGAAATAACTTACCACGCTAACTTAGGGATGCCTTAGGCACCGTTTTGTGATGTCGTCATTGTGAGACCCATGAGACGGCCCCTACGAGGGATATTGCAAGAAGGAGCACAGCTTGCTGCTCGACCTTCTGGCCCTCGTCATCATCTTTCGGTTCGTATTTTGCCAGCCACCTAAGAATGTCATCCAACACTCCAGGAAAATCCGCGGTTCACTCGCCATTCCAACAGCGCAGCATTACTTGCTCCGCAAAGTGCAGATGAGTGCCGCACGCACACACGGCGCGCACACATTCGGCCTGTCTAGCATGACCGGTACGACTGACCGCACCGTTACGTCTGCGCCGCAAAGGGCATTGGGCGGACCATGAAGCGTGTTTCACGGTCCTGTATCTCCATTCCTGCGCATGTTAGGACGGGGAAACCGCTACGCTTCGACAGCTGGGGGCTTATAGTCACACATACCCGAATTATGTGTGATCGTACCATGTGGCTTTAAGGAAACACTTCAAAAAATGTCATCACCAGTTATGGAAAAAATTTGCGTCACCCACCTTTACCCTGAGTCTGTCGCCCAGCAACCACTACTGCTCCACAACAAGTGGGGATCGCATCGCAAAAGCTAAATTCGAAAAGACTATAGTAGAAATATGGTAAGCGGAAGCTCTAGAGATCTCGTACCTAGAGTTAATGTCCATGGTAGTGGTGGCAACTGGAGCATAAACTATGACGCGTCCTAAATTTCGCGTACGAAGACGAGAGAAATACAGCGAAAAATCAAATCCAATGTCATCCCGATCGGTGTTCCTGGAAATTTTTTCGGTGAGGTAGTTAAACTCAAGGAAGGGATATCTGGTATAAAGTATGCGGCTATTCCATTATACATGCATACATTTCGTAGTAATAGTTCGCTGGATTACGGTAGTCCCAATTTTGAAGGGAGCTTTCAAATGCTACGAAAATTCTAGAACCACAAACCACTCACTCTTTCCCCAACCCTTTCTTCGGCTGTCTTTTAACGTTGGATGGCGCGTAGCATGTAGTAAAGGAAAATGCAAAAAAGACTGCAAGCAAGGTTAAAAAGACGTTCCTAAGACTAGGGAAAAGCAATTCTGTGGAGGATGAACCATCTCCTTCCATCCAGGGTAGGGAAAGCATTTCCTGAACTTTCACACTGGGTGTGCACGGGGACAAGGATGCACGCCCACTTTATTTAGGGTGTACAGCAGCCGCAACGTCAAAACCGGGACACAGCCAACGTCGGAGAATCCCCACAATGTGAGAGGGGGGGGGGCTCGCATTTGTCGTGCAGGGAAGGAGAGGTCGTATTTGACCTGAAAAACATTTTTTGAATTGATTTTTCTTGATTCATGGACGCTATCACATCGTTGAGGAATTCCATTGGGCTTGGGGGGGGGCGTTTGGTCGTAATTGGAAAAGAGTCGTTATATTTGTCTTTGCCGCGTTGTTCGTCTGTTGATCTTTACAATTTTTTTTCTCCTTTTTCTGGTACTATGTACACCTCCCCCCTCCCCCGCTCGGCAACAAAATTTGGGGAAAAAAGTGGAAAGTTTTTAGGGAGGTTCGACGACGATAAAAGTGGTAAGAAGGTTGGAAAAGATAGCAAGAGAGGTGA